GTATGGCATATACCAAAAGTATGGTAAATCCTATCATGAGCCTACTTAATTTTTGACACCATGATCTTGTAGGATACAGATAACCAGACTATCTGGTGGCATTATACTTTTGGTAAACGCGATTAGAGTCACGGTACTTTCTACCAAAGAACCTGGAAATTACCATACTATATCACTGCATCCCAACCCATACTTTTTTCAGTGAAGCTGGACGGTCGGCTTCTTGACTATTTTGCGCTTGCGCGCTGTAGGCCACAACTTTTACCTGTGAAAGCATGAAATCCTCTACGCTCTGTCCAAATGTTGGTTTTCTGTAGGTTCAATGTCCGTTAGACCATACTCGTGTAGATTTCAACGCACGTAATGCGTATTTTAGGCCAAGTAACACGTGGATCAAATAGGCATGTAGGAAAATTTTTGTAGGTCATACCTCATTGGTCAAAGAAACGTGGGCAAAGTGCTGTGTAGGTAAAAAAACTGTAGGCCAAGTGACCCGGAATAATTTTTCTTGTATCTGTGCAAGTTGGCTTGGTAACTACGATAAATAAATAAATATTTTGGGATCTAATATGAAACTGTTACTTTCATTCAACTGGTGATGTAGTCAATAAACATGAGGTTTATTCAGTAAATTCAAAAATATGATTACCAGCAGTACTACGATTCGTTTATCTTAGGATAGTTTGATGCAGTCCTTGCCTCTTCAAATTAACCCCCGTCTTTCCCTTCGTTGAGCATAAGGCTCCGAAATTACGCCTTGAGAGTTAGCGGAGTGGAACATTTCGGGAGAGGACACATTTAATTCCGCCTTTTCTGCGTCCCGTGACCGTCGCCTCAACAAGGCTGAAAATTCATCTTGGTCGGGAAGGAACTCCAGTTGCGGAATAATCGCGAAATTGCAGCCACATAGAAAATTCAGGCCTGACCGGAATCGCCGGACAACATTAAGCAAGCTGACCAGCTGTTGCCAAGTGGCTTTCGAAATTCCCAGTTTTAAAAGATTGACACTAGGCTAACGTGCCGAAATCCTTGAAATGAAATTGAACAATTATCCAATTAGGTGAACAGGAATTACTCACTAGAGGGACAGATATTTTTCTTTTTGACTGTGAAACAATCAACAGCGATCCACCTCTATTCCATTGATGAGCCATCTACTAAACAGCGGTAAATTTAAAATTTCATATCTTGTCCAACTGTTTATCTCCGGAACCATAGCGTGATTTGCTTTCTAATCAATATATTTGAAAAGAAACGCGAGATGCGGTGTCAACCATACATTGCTCATGTAATCCATTCCTGGAGCAATTCTTCAGGAGTCCAGGTTTTTTAAAATAAATCCTGAGCTTTGATCAATCGAAGTACAGTTTGTAACCAGGAATTGCCACGTATGACATTGCCATTTATGAAAGTTCTTCTCTGCATCGGTAAACTAGTGACTCATATCAATCCTCCAGAGACATAGGGCACCTAACTTCAGTTTAGTCTTTTCGGGATATCAGGTGAAAATCCCGCATCGGCCGTATTGATTCCAATGTAAATCGCAATTTTTGAAACTCCGTAACTCAAAACCAGCGTGAGATAGGGCTACCAGATTTTCATCACACACGGAACCGTTCATGAAGATTTCGAAAACGCCATTAACTTGATTTTTCTAATAATGTGAGTTAGATACCTTTTGGCTCTGTGGAACAGCTATTCTATTTCCAAAGTAGAAATGGACGTATTTCTATCAAACGGAACTATGTGCATTATGACGTGAGCCCCGTTACACATATATTCTTAGGGGTCTGAGGGCTCATGTCTTAATGCACATAGTTTCGTTTGACAGAAATACGTCCAAATAGTAGTTCCTCGTCGGAAAATGTATGCTCTATTAGTTTCCTCGTGCAAATACATGTTCAAATCGATGAGCCAGAAATTTTAGTCTCTGTTCTCGCAACATGTAGTTAAATTCATCCTCAGAAAATATACTGCGGAAAATTGGCTGATTTATTAAAACAAAAATTACAGACTCATATTTTAATTCTTTTTCATCATGATTCGATGTAAAATTTAGAAGTGCTCAATTTGACACCTCGGACTGTGTTGAAGGAACATAGGAGCATATTGGACACGAGATAACAATACGACTCTTGATTGTCCCTCTCATGGTGACGACGAATCCATAAATTCCATTACGAAGAGTCTCCAACCTCACTCAAAACCGCGATCCTCGACTCACTCGCGATCTTTTCGATATTTCGCACGAGCATCGTCCGTTTCGAGACTTCGATCCATCGAAAGCCTCGGCTCGGGCCTTGGGCGGCGTAATTTGTGTGTTTTTTGGACCATTCCTGATTAGATCATCATAGTTTGCCTGATTCGTCGACCACCTTCCCGCCCCCTCCCCTCCGCCCTTCTTCCGTCCTGCGTTCGCCGCCGGAATAACCTAATTGCGGCCTGGCGGAAAACTGACTCCTTTGCAGTTGTCTTTTCCTGGGTGTTTACGATTCCTTCGGGACTTGAATTCGTGGGTTTTAGCCCCTTCTCATATCGTCACGTTCGACCCTTGTTTCCATGCGTTTGTGCCATTGTTTTTTTGTTGAAAATGCATAGGAGATTTGAGTGGAATTTAAAATACAAGACCATTGTTTCAAAAATGTTATTAAAATTTAGCCAAAGGCCTTCTAGAGACCTGTTAAAAGTCTTATATTTTCCTAAATTCCGATATCTTTGGTGTTAATTATCTTCTCCTCTTTCTTTCGTCACACTGGGAAAAAGAAAAAAAAAAAAAAACACACATTGGATCTAGAGTCCAGACTTTTAAAAACATCGATAAGAAAAAATACTTTTGATTCAATCGGATTTAAACTGAAATCAAGAACCAAGCCTCTTAATTTGAGCAGATTTCCTTTTGATTTACGCTTAAATCTGATTGAATCAAGAGTCCCTTTTCCTTGTCAATGTTTTCAAGAGTCTGGACTCCAGATCCAATGTGTTTTTTCCAGTGTAATTTCAACTTACCTATATTCAGATATTCATCGAAAACTTTCAGAGCTTTCATTTTGAGTGGAACTATTACAATACATTAATTTCGTCCAATCCTTGAAAAGAGGAATTTTTCCCTCCGCAATCAATTACAATATAAAATCACTGTGTGATTTTTAAGGGTAATGTATAAAGAAGCGTATTAATTACACTTTGTACTAAAATTATATATTTTAATAAGTGTGGCCGTTCAACTAAAAAACTATAAAAGGATGAGAAGGCAAGAGAATGCTGAGAAAACAGAAAACTCTGTACCATTTTAAAATAGCTTTTTAGTATGCACGAAACTAGTCGCAAACTGATGAAAATCCTTGAGCCAAATCGTTTATTTCATTACAATTGTTTTTTTTTCTTTTTTTCTTTCTCTCTTCAGATTTGAGCGACTGGCTGATTTAATTACGAAGTGAAGATTGCACATTTTCACATTGAAGATATCCCGCTATACTGCCGTGCTAAGGAAGAACGCCGTATGAAAATTCGAGAGTTGCCAAATTTCCCTTGATAAAACATATATTTTTGACAACATTATTGCATATTTTCCCTTGACATTTTCAGATATTTTACATTAAATTACGGACAAAAATGTCTGAAAATTTCAGAAAATAATAATCACAATTTTCCCGGTAATTTCGGTTTTTATCGGTAGAAACTTGGCAACGTCTGAAGGCTCATACAGTGTTCTTCCTTAGCACGGCAGCATAGGGGCCGTCGATATTCTAACAGGATCGCGCGTAACTTTCTTAATATGCAAAACGACACGAAACCACCCCTCGGGATTCGGGGGGTAACTTTCGTCCAATAAGGAGCCGCGGCGGGGCCTCCCAACCCTGGCACGGAGGGAACTAATCCCTTTATTGAAGGAAAGACATGTTTCGGGGCGGTAAGAAGGTGACGGGAGGATTAGGAATTTATAATACATCCCCTCTCGGGCGGCCGGCGCGGGCAAGTTTCTCATTGTCTTCATAAATCATCGCCCAACTACTGAGCTTAAAGTTTCAGCCGGCTTTCATATATTAACCACCCGGCTTCGTCCTATCAAAGTTTGCAATATTAAACCGAAAGATAATAACACTAACGATGTTCTTGCCTCTGCGACTCGCCGCCGCAGCCCCCCCGCCGCCCCCCGTTTTCGGGAAGGCCCGTGAGCTAATGAGAAAACCCGGCGGATTCTCCGGGCGCACTCTAAATCATGTTGCTACTTGAGAAAAACACCTCGCCGCGCCCTACTTCTCCGCCTTACATAAATATGTCGGACATAAATTTCGGCGCCGGGCTCGTTTCTTGCTCTTGCTCGCTGAAATGAGTAATGGCCTCGTCTTCGGGTTTCCTCCAAATTAAGCGTTTCAGTAACCAACAACCCCCTCCCCCTCGGTCCGCCATTCGTCCCTTTTCGTGCAGGCCCTTTATGACTATATGTATGGGGTATGTGGTATTAAACTTCTTGACGAAACTGAAATCGTATCACGTTTCTCATTGGTAATTTTCAAGCCGCATTCAAATAAACTAAAGTAAATCAGAAAAAAAATGAATTTTAGATGAGGGGAATCTTCCCTCTATCCCAAATTTTGAAACTTTTTTAATTATGAACTCACAAACATGAAATAACTTGAAGGTTTCAATATCAATAATTTTGTAATTTGTATCCCTTCGCATTAAGTGTGTCTTTCACTACAATCTTCAATGTTGCACCATTGAAAAGAAGAGGAAATATCCAAATCGGATTTAGAATGTGCAAAATTTTAGGATAAAAAAAGGTACGGGTCCATTCATCCCTCGAAAGAATGTAGGTACAGTAAAATGCAGGATTTTACGTTTGAAATTTTTAAAGCTGATCTAATAATTTAGTCAGTCTATAGTGAATGCAAGAAAGTGCTACAACTGCAGAATTATATATGTTCAATTTTACTTGTGTCTGATTTGTATGTTCATATTGGGTTGTTGCTGAAAAGTTTCATGATTTTTTGTTACAGGTTCGGAAATGGCTGTGTAATGGATAGAGGCAGGAGATATCAGGAGAAAGACAACCTAACCGAAAAGCCAAATATGAACAAATATTCCGCGTTCATGCAATCATTCCTCTTATCATCTACGCCACATGCTGGAAAAAGTACCTCATCTTCTCTCCAACGTCATACATAAAATGGTGGAGCGAGCAAATTTACATTTCCGTGCCAAAATCATGAGACGGTACGAAAATTTTTCTGTCATTAAATTTGTGTTAAATTTCTACATCTACCTAAGAGAATAATTTTAGCGAATGTCAATAAATTTGAACAAAAGTGAAAATAAAAGGAGAGAGACTGAAAAATTTAGGATGGAAAATTTGAATGTTGCCGAATCCCGCCGATGAAATATTTAATTTAGAAGAAAGAAGGTGGTTTTCCTCGGAATTTTCAAGAGTCCTGAGTAAAATTGCGTAGTGAATGCGCCAAAAATTTCAATAATAAATAAATTCAAATAACTTCCTGGAAAATCGTATTTCATCACGGGAATTTTGGCAGCGCCTAAGTGTCTATACGGTGTTCTTCCTTCACACGGCACCACAGGAGCCACGTTACTCTGCTGCAATTTCCGGATTGTTAGTTACTCAAGGTATGCGAAAGGGGAAAGTGACCGTGGGAGGATGTTTGGGTTTAGGTGCAAGAGAGGGAGCAAAATATTTCAGAAGCGAATTCTAACAGGCACCAGCTTTCGTTCCTCCTCCGCCCTAAGAACTTCATTTATCTTTGTCTTTTGAATCGGTCAGCTCGCACCCAAGTATTCGGTCCCCTCCTTAATACACCAAATGCACGTTCAATCTTATTAGATGAGGGTCGCATTTGCATCTCGTAGTCCGCCTTTTGGGGCTTTTGCGGTTTCGAGAAACAATTTCGGATGCGACGGGGCCGCGTAACGTTCGGAAGCGTCGAGCGGAACTAATTTTAACAGATTCTCGTGAAATAAATTGAAAAATTTAATCCACCAATCCCCGGAGATGTGACAACTCTGCCTCTTTTTCTTCGTAGATTTGTTGATTGTTATGGCCATCAAACGTTCAATTTTTAACTCCCGTTTTTGGTAAGTTGGTCGTAAGACAATAAGTTGGAGTTTTCTAGGCAACGTGCGTTAAAAATCAGCATAAAGCTGAAAATCTCAATACAGAGGGTAAAAAGCTCATACGAGCACAATTTCCCCTCAAAGAGATACGCTGTTTGGTGCAACACTAGTAACGAGTATTGAGATCTTCAGCTTCATGCTGATTTTTCACGCATCGTTGGCTAAAAAATTCCAACTTTCTGTCTTACGACCTGTGCGTCTACCGCAATCAGTTTGTGTCTCTTTTTTCTCAAAAAAAAAAACGCCAGCGGAAGCCCTGTCAACACTAACAAAAGTTCAGTTCCTTAAACCCATCCCTGTTTGGACGAGGCCTTCCATGTATAAAAAACGAACGATAAAATTATGAAAGAACAAACATAAATGTGGTTAATAATTTTAACTTCCACCGCCGCGCCGACCGCACTGAGTTGGCGCAATGCGTGAAGTATTCGTGCAGCCTTGTAGGCGCTATGCGTTTCACGACGACCGCTGCTGACCATACTGTTTGGCGCAATGCATGAAGTATTCATGCAGTCTTGTAGGCGCTAAGCGTTTCATGCCGACCGTCACGTGTTTGGTTTCTCTCTTAACTCGACAAACTAAAGGTGTTATCTCTTGTATCACCGAAAGACGACAAAATTAGAAATTACTATACTTTCACTCTCGGGAAATGAGATATTTTGTCGCCTTTTCTCGATTGTAATTTATTTTCTGAATCCGATTTTTTCCTCTCTTATTTTGATACCTACACTCAAAAAGATTGCAAATTTTGCCGCCCCCTACATTTTGCCGCCATGGGTTGAGGCCCATATGGCCACCCCCTTAATCCGGCCCTGCACAGCATAGGAGATGTGTGATCCAACTGTTTCAGGGAGTTTCACTAATATCTTCAAAATTTTTTCTTGGTCTGTTTTCTCGTTCAGCAAAACACTGGGCATTTCCTTGGAAAGTTCAAAACAATTTAATGCGTCATTCCGAGAAAAAGTAAATAATTTTCATCATGCTAGAATTAATTACGTATTTATAAGGCTGAATCTCCACTTTACGATTCTTCCAAAAATTTTGAGAATTCTATCTTAGTTACAGAGCCCTTGTCATTTCGCCAATCTTGCAATGACCATCCCGTCGTCAATTTCCCCCTTTTGATAACCCCACGAAAATGTTCACGGCGCAAGGCTTGCCAATGCGTGAAAGACAATATCTCAACTCCCTGTATCTTCCGAGGCTCAGCTGGAGTTTGCCTCTGTTTCGCAAAACATTCGCGGGACATTCCGCCACCGAGCGAGGCCGGGAGGGGTTGGGGCGGTTTGGGACGGGGTGGGTTTACGGGGAGTTTAAGCCGAAAGTTAGGCTCGGCGGAGTCTTAGGCTGTGCTAATATTTCTGAAGTGCGGATTTATATTCGATCGGGCGGCCCGCCTTGCGGCGCCCCCAGGCTGTGGTTGCGGTCAAACTTGGTTCTTGCGCCGAAACAACTTGGTGATTTGCCTCAACTTCGACAAATCCTTTTATCTTTGGCTCCAGACTAAGTCCCGGGCTAATAGCCTCAACTCGTCTTTCGTGTCCTCCTACCCTCCTCCGTTCCAGCTTTGTGCCGTATTCCTCATGTCCTCTCATTACTCTTGTCTATTTGTCCCGTCCACCTCCTCCTTCTTTCATGCCTGTTATATAAGTTCATCACTATTTCCTCGCCCGTTTCGTCACCACGTTTCATAACGAGCTAAGTTTTACCTTCAGCAGAGACAGTATATGCAAAAACGAAAATGATTGGAATTGGCTGGCTTAGAGTACTCCCCATTCGCTTTTACTATTTAATTAATTTTTCTTTAAATTTATCTTCTTCATTTTCAGGGATTCTTATATTTCTCTGTTATACAGGGTGATCCAAGGTTAAACGGTCAGACTGCAGGAGCTTGTTCAATGGGTCAAAATAAGACTTTTTTATTGTATATAGTTTTTTCCAAAAGTTCTTACAGTCAGAGCTACACCCCCTATCCCCAAAATTTCGGAAAGTAGATCGTAATACCTGAATTTTGACAACGGTTGTGAACCAAATCTCATGATAATTTGTACTCCCCTGTAAACTAAACTTTCATTCCCTAAATTAATAAACGATCGAACAAAAATCGAAATCTCAATTTAAAAAGGGGGTTCGGGGGTGTTTCGGCTCCTGCAGGCTAACCGTTTAACCCTGGATCGCCCTGTATATAATTATAAGAGTAAATGACAATGCATAAAACCTGAGGTGCGTAGCACTTCAGGAGGTTGGAATGCGCGAAGCGATCAGGGGGCGTATCACTTAAACCTTAAAAAAATCCTGTATCATGTAGAATAAACCACTTCTATGAAACTGGAATATATGTTTTTGCATTGATTTTAGTCAATCTCCATGTGGTTAGCGTTTTGTAAAAAAATTGAGAAACCAATCAAATGCATCATGCGAGTTGAAGATAGTGAGTGTCATTCCAATTGATGTGGAATGGACGCTAACACTAGAGCTTAGGAAAGTTTTTATTTACCAGCTCGCTAGCTTACCAAAAAGTCAATGTAACATACATTCCCTTTTCTTTTATGAACTCATGCAACTTGACTACTGAGGTGTTAATGGCCATAGTTGCTAATGCACCGCTTTAAAATTAACGAATACTACTTCTGACCACTACATATAATGATCACAATACTAACGATAATAATATGAACAAGTCATGATAACCGACTCTATTATTGGTTATATTAAGGTTTTTTTTTTTTTTTTTTTTTTTTTTTTTTTTTTTTTTTTAAATGAAAAATATGCAGATGAATAATAGGATGGCAATGTATTCAACAGTGGCGAGTTGTACTATGCAGTGAATTTAGTGACCCATCATTTAAATCTATGGAAAAGGATCGATTGTAAATTATCGATTCTGCACCATATCTGCAAAAATATGGATTGCCGATGATTCATGTCTCGCCACCAGTATGTTGCCCTTCAATCGAAAATTGTTAAGATATATTCGTTGACTACAACAACGTAATGGAATTTACGACTTAAAATTTGATATTGACATTGTTGAAACTTCATGGATCGTGGATAATGAAGTTAAAGTTTTCGTCCTATCCAATTCAATTCCCCAACAGCATGTAAACATCGTTTGCTTTGCTCTTCGGAATTCGCAGTCCTTCGCTTTAGCTTCAAGTTATGTTTACACTTTCTTCACGAGCTCAGAGGAGAGTTAAGGACGAGGAGATCGGCGGAGTGATAAGAGAGTGCTGACGGGAAGGAGAAGAGGGTTGCAGAATAGTCAATTTCCATGGAACATTGAAGATGAGCTGAATAAATGGTTTATAGTTAGAACTTGACGTGGAATAGAACAGTAATCAAGTTCCTCTCATTCTCATTCATATTCACAAGCCTACCCGCTCGAGAACTTGCTCCTCGCCCCAGACTCTCATCTCCTTCCCCTTCCCCCGACCCATCCGGAAAATTCTCACCCCACGCCC